TTTATGCTGGCTCCCAGTCGATGAGCTAGTGGAATTCCGGCGCGGGGTGGAGCTAGTTGGCCCACCCGGCCCGGGCGGACAATGTGACGACCTGGCGTCGGTTTTTCGAAGATTGTGAGAGAATTGACAATTCGTTTTGAAAATCCAAATTTGTATTCCCTGTAGTCGATCATGGCGCGCTCGATGGTGCAATTCTCAGGGCTGTAGCTGCAGCGCAGCTTGTAAAAATTAGGAGGAACCGTCGCCCGTCGGAGTGTATTTCTCCAGATGATATTGGATACGGTGAACTTAACTGAAGCAGGGGGCCATCTACACAGCTCCAGTACTTTCTGCATCTGTAGCAGGTCAAGTCGCGTCAGCCCGTCGAATTCTCAGGTCCGTAGCTATACTACTACTATTGAAGCACGTGGCGGAACCAACTTCTTAGAATACTGAAAATACATGTTTGCATTTTTGAATTGCTATTCAGGTAAGATTTATCGTCGTATTCTGAGCATTACTTCGCGAGTCAAGAGCTCTGCGAGGGTTCCGGTGGTATTCTGGTTGACGGCTTACCGCCGGCTCCCAGTTCACAGTGGGAGGAGCAGTTGGAGAGTGCGGTCGCGGATGAGGAGGGGGCTACAGCCGCGAAGGATGGGCAGGGCGACGACGCAAACGAGGCGGGGGTGGGCGATAGCTGTGCGGAGGAGCCTCGCGCGGAGGTCTCGCAGGATATGTTCGGTCGGTTCCAGGCAGCAGGCATGGCTCTCGCTTCGCCGGTCAAAAACGCGCTCGCGGATGCTCAAATGTTGCGCGAGGACGTTCTGCAGCCTGGCGCCGTTCCTTGGCTTGTTGTCTTCGCTGCCCTTGTGGCCGACGAGCAGGTCCGCGATGCGCTCTAGAATGGCGACAGGGATGAGGGAATGGCCGGCGAGGAGAGGCAGCGCACTGGCATCGGCGCGCGCGGCCGCCAGCTCCAGATCTCAAGATGCCGAAGACGCCTCGCGCGCGCGCGGGCTTCCCGCTCGCGCTTGTAGCTGCGGAATTCGGACGCCAGGCGCAGCAGCGCGCCGCAGCGCTGTCCGCCCGCCCCGCCCCTCGCCCCACGCGCGCCACGGCGCCTCGCGCGTCCCTGCCAGCCTTCGCATCTCGCACCCAGCGGCGTCCAGCGACGGCAGCACCAGCGCGCGAGATGTCACGTGGAGGCCGTCGGCGCGGAGCGGCGCGCGCTGGCGCAGCGGCTCGCAAAATCAGCGCACTCGCATATCGCGCTTCACGCCCCCGGCCGCGAGCCAGTCGAGCAGGCGCTGCAACTGATCCCAAGGCCCCTGCGCGCCCGACCCAGGCACGGGCGCCCGGGGCGCACCGCCCGTGACAATCCCGTGATTGTCGGTGGTCGCGGAGTCGGGGTCCGTCGAAGTTTTTGCCCCAGGGCGGCGTGGTTTGTATTCGGGCGAGCGCAGCGACTTGCCCGCGGAGTTGTGGCTGCTGCAGGGCTGGTGCCATGCGCGCGGCGGCGTCTCTGGCATGAGCATCGCCTCGGCGGCGAGGTGTCTACAGGTCGAGGGCGTCCGCGCGACGTCATGTATAGGGCAGAGGCCGCGGGTGGCGCGCTGGGATCGTTGCGTGGCGGGCCGCCAGTGTTTTATGCGGACCTGAAGCCGCAGCTGATCCCGGACTGGCCCGCCTGGCAGTTCGTCGAGCAGGGGCCGGAGTCAGCGCCGGGGGGGTGGCGAGCTGGGCTCGCCGTGGCCTGGCGAGCATGGGGTCGACATTGAACTGCGCGGGGATTTTGGGGCACGCACCAGTCGCGCATGGTTTCCGTGCTTGATGCGCCGCGGCCGCATCGTGGCAACGCGACGTGCCGAGAGATTTCCGAGAGTTCCGGGAGCGTTACGGGTGCTGGCCTGGCGAGTTTGCCGCTCGGCGGCGCTCGGCTCGCGGCGCGGATTTCTGGGAGGTAATTCTGGCGCAGAGAGTCGCGGGAGCTGCGCGCGCGTATTCCCAGGAGTTCCCGCGGGCGTTGGATCAATCGAGAGTGCAGGGGCTGGTTGCGCTTGGCGGGCTGCGTGGGCGACCCCGTGGCATCGGGGGATGTCCGCGGCGGTCTTTCAGGGAGCGGCGGCTTCGCCCATGGCCCATGGCGGCGGCGGCGGCGGCGGCTGTTCGCTCGCGTCGGGCGCTGCGCCCGCTGCGGAGCGCGTGGGCGGCTATGGCGACAGCGCCAGCGTGATCGGCGGCGACGGGGGCGGGGCTCGGGCCAGGGCCGGCACCTGTGGTGGAAGACTCCGCGGTCGCGCTGTGACGAAGGAAAAACAGAGGAAGGCGCGCAGAGGAGATCTGGGGGTGCGCAGTGCCGTGATTGTGGGAGGGTTGGGTTTGGTGTATGGTGGTGGCGCGGCGCGTCGGACGAGCGACCCTTCGGGCCGCCCTCCGAGTCGCCCGCCATCGCCGTCGCTGCCGCTTGCGAGTCGCGCGTGCCTGTGTTCCAGCCGGCGCGAGGGGGTATGCCGTGGGGCGAGCGCCGCCCATGTGGGAGATCCGTCAGGCCATGTTGGCTCTGCCACAGCCCCCGTGCCGACTGCAAAATCCCCGCGGGCGCATGCTTCGTGCAGCGTGTGGCGAGTGCGCGCGGTGAGTTGCCCGAGTGCAGGAAGTGCTCGCTTCACTTCGCGGGGCAAGTTAAGTCGCGGGGCCCGTGGGGTCGCAGGAGTGGCGGTTGTGTGTTGGAGCCTTTTCTGAGCACCTCGTGGCGGGGTTTTCCGATTTGCCGGCGTGCGCGGCTCGGGGGGTCCTCGGAGCGTGGCCGAGACGGCAGGCGCGCTGCGCGCCTGATGGAGATCACCCGGCGTAGACGGCGTCGCCCCCGTCGGGGGCGTGGAAGCGTCGCCTGTGAACGTCGACTTGTTGGGGGCTGCTCCTGCGTAGGTGGGTTTCGCATGGGCCGAGCCCGGCGACAAGCGCCTTGCCGTGCGCGCCAGGGTTTGCTGCTGCGTCTGCGGTCGTCTGCGCTGGGTGGACGAACTGCAGCGCGTCGGATTGTGTCGAGGAGCGGCCTCTTATGTGCGACGAAGAGGCGCAGCGGCCCGCGCGCGCCGACGCGGACATGGGGGTGGGCGGGGAGGCGGACGGAAGTGGCGAGGCCATGCGTCTGACGCAGCGCCAGCGCGCGCGCGCTGTTGGATCTGGTGCGGTATCGTGCCAATTGCGGATCAGTCGCTGTCTCCCGTGGCGCGCTTGTTCCTCCCTCGGCATAGGCTCCAGGGGTTGCGGTTTCGTTCGTGCCTTCTTGCAGGCAGAGCCAACGCGTGCGCAATGAATCGAATGGGAAAATCATACCCGGCCAGCCTTCCCCCGCCGCCCTTTCGGTCATTCGTTTTTTCGGTAGGGGCTGCTCACATTCCAGAGGGATCCGATCCGGTCTCCTAACTTCGCCTCCGATTCTGATCCAGTCCGATCCGACCCCAATCAAAACCCTCTCGGGCCTCGTGGTACGGAGGCCGAGAGACGATCGCAGACGTTCCGACGCCGATGCGATTCCATGCCAAGTTCGGCGCCATCCGGTGCGTTCCCGATCCGATTGGATTTTGCGATTCGACCTAGCTTGATGCGCTCGCCCGTGTCAGGCTTGCTTCAGCGCCGATTCTTTTTGTTGAATGCATTTAGCAGCGCCACACGGACTACGGTAAGTCGTGAGGGTTGCGTTGTCCCCCGCCCTCCAGGACCCATTTCGATCCGATCGATCTGATCACCTTCGGCTAGTTCGATCTGATTTGTGGAGGCCTTCAGGAGGTCCCCGAGGTCAGCGGAGGCTTCCAGGGCTTCAGAGGCCCTGATGAGGCCACGATGCTAACGTGGGCCCAACGGTTTAATTTTACGCTCGATCCGCTGCGTGGGTCACGGAACGCGTGAGCGAGACCTCGGCGGCGCGGCCGGGGGGGAATGTAGAGGGGGCCAGCCTTTTCAGAGGCGGCGGGTGTTCTCAGAAACCGTCTCGCCTTTTTAAGAAACGTTCTAAGCCTTCTACGAGGCCGCAGACGGTTTCTCAGAAGGAACCAGTGCTTCTGAGAAGCCCCGCCGCCCCTTGGGATCGCTGGCTCTTCTGGCCATCCCCCCGTGGGCAAGCCGCCGAACGCTTGAAGTGTGGCTGCGCTGGAGCACTTGGTCGGGGCCCTGCGTTCGCACCGAAGGTCCATGGCATGTGGCGGTGCGCAGAGCGTGGTCAGGGGCCTGCGCGCATGGGCCAGGCCCCTGCGGCCGCACAGCCAGCGGCGGCAGCTCCTCGCCCTCAGCGCTGGAACACCCTCCTCCTCCTCCTCCTCCTCCTCCTCCTCCTTCTCCTCCTCCTTCTCCTCCCCCGTGCGCATCGCACCATGGTGCAGACGGGCACTCATCACGTCGAGTTCTATTGCCGGCCTGTCCCGTCTTTTCGCGATGGTATTTTTACATCGCAGCGCATGCGCGAGTGGAGCCTCACCTCGTGCAGTCTCGCGATTGCCGCGTCAACTCGCACATGCTCGTGTGCCTGCGTTGTCGTGTTTTCGAGCTGTTCCTTGCAAGTGAGCGGCTTGGGTGAACAAAAAGCAAACATCATCGGGGTCTCTCCGGCACGTGGTACCTTGCCCCTAATACAAGAAGTCAGATCACATAATTGCTCGTCGCGCTTATTGCTTTGGGGAAAGGGTGCCCGAACATCTCGGTCGTCGATTCTTTCGTGAGTTGACACGGGGCGATCATCGAAGATCTCAGAGGCGGGGGGACCGAACAGGATCCAGGTCGACCCGACGGATCCTGTTCAGTATCGTTTCATGCTGGTTCGACCCGGCTCGAGTCGGATATTCCGACGATTTGATTCGTCCCGATGCTCGCACGGTAGGGTTGTGCATCCTGGCGCAGCCAGTTCGGCTTGATCTCGGCTCCGTGCTGGCGCAGCCCGATCCGAATCGCATTGTTGTTCCCGATCTCCGGTTCGATGCTGACCGATCCTGCCCAGCGGCTCAGCTGCCTGTGTGTGCGCCTGCAGCGTCTCGGTCATCTGAGCTGGCGGCCACCCCTGCGGCGCGACGGCGATCGTGGCTCCACCGCGGCATTACCTGGCGCCCTCGCCCCCCAGGGGGGGCAGCAGAGAGCGAGGATGGTTTTGAGCCAAGGGAGCAAGAGGAGGAGGAGGAGGAGGAGGAGGAGGAGGAGGAGGAGGAGGAGGAGGAGGAGGAGGAGGAGGAGGAGGAGGAGGAGGAGGAGGAGGAGAAGGAGGAGGAAAAGGAGGAGGACGAGGAGGAGGAGGAGGAGGAGGGAGGAGGAGGAGGAGGATGAGGAGGAGGAGGGGGTGCTAGGAGGTGGGCTAGGAGGGGGAGGAGGAGGGGAGGAGGAGGAGGATGAGGAGGAGGGAGGTTAGGAGGAGGAGTCACCCTTGTTGGGTCGCTGCTGTTGCTGCTCACGCTTCACGCCATCGGCGAACTTCGGCTTGAGCACGGAGGAGGGATGACCGTCCCACGCCTGAAGGAAAGATGAGGAAAGAGAAGGAGGAGGAGGATGAGAAGGAGGAGGAGGAGGAGGAGGAGGAGGAGGAGGAGGAGCAGGAAAAGGGAGAGAGGGGGAGGACGATGAAGACTGGACGAGGATTCCGTGCTTGAGGGGATCTCGTTTTGACGCGTCGGCAGGCTACTGTGTGGGGCGGGCCACCGATCCGTCCGCACGCGTGTCGCAGTGGGGAGCTCCTCTCGAGCTCAAGACGCCAATGCACGTGCCGATGCACGAGGAGGAGCATGGCGGAGGATGAGGACGTGCACGTTCGCGTCCTCGTGGTGATAGGATCAGGGCGAGGAGGAGGAGGGGGACGAGGAAGATATGCGGCATGAGAAGGACGACGAGGAGAGGACGATGAATGATGATTGCGGTGGCGATGATCATGACGATTGCGAGAAGTAGAAGGAGGACGAGGAGGACCAGAGGGCGGAGGATGCGGACATGCAGAAAGTTACTGGGCTTTTGGTCTTGTTGGTCGGTCCAGGGACTGGTTTTGATTGTATTTTGGTCGCCGAGTCTCTGGTTTTTTGGGTCGCTGGGTCGCCGGGACCAGGTCGCAAGGCTGCCAGGTGTCTGAACGGTGGGTCGTTGGGACGTTGGATTGGGTCACAGGGTCGCGAGGTTGCCGGGTCGCCGGGTCGCCGCCAGGTGACCAGCTGTTGTGGATATCCTTTTGTAAGTCAATGGCGCAGGGTGAGGGGCTTCGGGGATTATCACAGGTTTGAATCCTTCTAGGTCTCCAGGCCTGCCCTGGAGTTCTTCAAACGCTCAGCGGGCGAAGACCGGCATAATATATACCTTTTCGCCGTCGGGGACGCCTTTCCCAAGGCGGCTGGAAAGTTGATACCCCTTCCGGTGGCACGTCAGGGTTTAAACCTTCCACACGCCCTGGAACAGGCGCCCCCAGTGACGAAGACAATTATTTCCAACCCTCCTGTGTGTGGGGTCCTCGTCTTGAATTCGCAGCGCCGCGCGTCTCATTTCTCCTTCCTCCTCCCCCTCCTCCCTTCTTTCATGTTCCTCCTCACTCTTCCCTTCGCTTCCTCCTCATCCTGACTCTCCCACTTCCCATCACAACCACCACCATCATCATCATCATCATCATCATCATCATCATCATCATCATCATCATCATCATCATCATCATCATCATCATCATCATCATCATCATCATCATCATCATCATCATCATCATCATCATCATCATCATCATCAACACCACCACCACCACCACCACCACCACCACCACCACCATCATCATCATCATCATCATCATCATCATCATCATCATCATCATCATCATCATCATCATCATCATCATCATCATCATCATCATCATCATCATCATCATCATCATCATCATCATCATCATCATCACCATCGTCATTATCATCATAGTTTCGGCGCACTCCTCACACGCTTCTTGGCCCAATTGGGATCTCCACCGACGGCTCCAGTGGCAGGGTCCGCATGCGTACTCGGGTCCATCTGGGCACACCCCTCACACGTTTCGTGGCATGTGGAGCTCCACCGAGGGTCCAGTGGCAGGGTCCGCATGCGTACTCGGGTCCACTTCGACGAACACCTCACACGTTTCGTGGCCCCATAGGGAGCTCCACCGAAGGCTCCAGTGGCAGGGTCCGCATGCGTACTCGCGTCCATTTCGGCACACCCTTCACACGTTTCGTGGCCCCATAGTGAGCTCCACCGCAGGCCCCAATGACAGGATCCGCATGCGTACTCGGGTCGATTTGGGTACATCCCTCACACGCTTCGCAAGGCTCCGGTGGCAGGGTCCGCATGCGTACTCGGGTCCACTTCGGCGAACACCTCACACGTTTCGTGGCCCCATAGGGAGCTCCACCGAAGGCTCCAGTGGCAGGGTCCGCATGCGTACTCGGGTCCACTTCGGCGAACACCTCACACGTTTCGTGGTCCACCTGAGGTGGGTCCACTTCGGCGTCCACCGAAGCCTCCAGCTGAGGAGCTCGTGTTCCGCGCCGCATGCATTACTCAACTTCCTGTGTGCGATTTGAGTTGCGCGAGTGCCTGTCGAGCCTGGTCCGACGTTCTCCGGCGAGCTATTGTGCATCGAGCGGTCCTGTTGGGAGTTTCCACGCACGTAGAAGGGGTTGTTCTTCGCCAGGGTAATTTCATACCGTTCTTCGCCTGCTAAACCGCTTCTAGATGCCTGCAGACGAGGCTGGAGTCCCAAACAGGGTCAAATCCATCAAAGCATCGATCCAGAAGGCAGAGGCAGCCTCCGCAGGCGTCAAGATGATCGCGTTTCGCGCGTCGCGGCCTCGGCCGGATAACTGTCTTTCTGCAGGGTGGCCCTGCGAGGGCGCGAAGACGACCGTGTGTCGCGCATCGCGGGGCGCGATGCGCGAATCTTGGTACCTAGATCCAAGCAGGGGGCAGATGGGGTACGGACACATGTCCCCGACGTCGTGATTTTTTCGCAGGCAGCGTCGATCCCAGAGGTCTGGACCCCTTCCCCGGGACCGATTTCTCATCCTGAGTCGTTGTTTCACGGTCCTGGGGCAAGGGGCCCCCGGAAGCGGAAAATAATTGGGTGGAAATAGTTCGGTGGAAGAGCCTCCCGTCGTGATTCTTGCTCAGCGCGAGGGGGTCTGGGGATGGTCGGGCGGGGTTAGGACGGGACAGATCCGTTCCAGAGCGTTCCGGAACGCTTTCAGATCGTTGCGGAGCGCTCTGAGAAGGCCGCGGCGCCCGAGGCCCGAGACATCCTCCAGAGCCGCCATATCTCAGAGATTCTCGGTTTATCCTCACCCGATCGACTGCATCCTCGTCCTGGCTTCGTCTTGGATGGATCTGCCCCGCAGCTGGCGCGATGACGCCGGAGTACGACTACCTGTTCAAGCTGCTGCTCATCGGCGACTCCGGCGTGGGGAAGTCTTGCCTGCTGCTGCGGTTTGCGGGCGCGCCGCCCCCTCCCGTCTTCGCGCCGCTCCTTATAGCAGGGGGAAGCAGGGCAGGAGGAACTCGGAACTCGGAACTCGGAAATCCGCAAAAAGACGCCAGAGGGCATCGTCGTCGAGGGGAGGGAGGGAGGGGGAGGAGGAGGAGGAGGAGGAGGAGGGAGGAGGAGGAGGAGGAAGGGAGGAGGTAGAGGTGTGCTAGGAGGAGGAGGAGAGAGGAGGAGGAAGGAGGAGGAGGAGGAGGAGGAGGAGTAGGAGGAGAGGAGGAGGAGGAGCTAGGAGGAGGAGGGAGAGGAGGAGAGTGCTAGGAGGAGGAGGAGGAGGAGGAGGAGGAGGAGGAGGAGGAGGAGGAGGAGGAGGAGGAGGAGGAGGAGGAGGAGGAGGAGATGGAGGGAGGTGGGAAGGACGAGGGATTGGCTGCAGGTTTGGGGGCTGCGTGGGGGCTGGAGGAGGCTTCCGGGAACCTCTAGGAGGACACACGTGAGGGTTTCTTGGAATGACTCTCACGGGCCTTTTCGATGCCTGTTGGGGGCATCTGGTTCGCCGTTTGTGGATTTCTGGGGGCATTTTGAGTGCCTCTTGAGGGCCTCGTGGGGGCTTCTTGGGGGCGCCTCGGGGATCTCTAGGGGGCTTCTGGGGCCATGACGGGGGGAAAGGCTCGAGATGTTAGTTCGTATTGCTCCTCTTGGGCCGTCTTGGGGGCTGTACTGGGCCGTCTTCGGTCCCCCTTGGGGACCTCATGGGCCGTCTTGGGACGATCTTTGGGCCCCCTTTGGCGGTAGTCGACAAAAAAAGCGGGTAAGTCGAACATGCTCGTGATCCTAACGGAATGGGGCGGTTTTTGTGAGCACTGTTGGGCCGTCCTGGGGGCCTGTGAGCACTGTTGGGCCGTCCTGGGGGCCTCGTGCATTGTCTTCAAGACATCTTTGACCGTCGTAGGATTACGTTACGCCGTCTCGACGCTCTCTTAGACTGTCTCGACTCTCTGCTTGGGCCTCCTTAGGCCTCCTTGGGCCGTTTTGGTGCTCTCTGGAGGCTTTGGAGAGCCTCCTGGGTGCGTTGACACGCTCGTCCCCCCCTCCTGAAACGGGGTTTGGAGCTTTTGGGGAGGGGGACAGGGGGATGGGGGACAGCCAAATGTCTCACACGTCCTTTCACCCGGGGCCAGCGGGGATCGGCATATGTACTTGCAGGCAAGAAGGAGGTTTCAATGCAGCGTCCAGGGAAAGCCCCGTTTTGAACAGGATTTGCTTTCCACCCGTGTACTCTGGATTGCACAATCAAAAGGGCGGTGGTCTGATTTTGGAGGCTGATAGGATCTGTTTTGGAGGGTTCCAGGGGGTTCTAGGCAAAAGGCCGCCCAAGGTCCTGGTCCCAGAGAGTGCGGGAGTCACAGGCGAGGTCCCCGTTAAGCAAAGTAGCCGCCATGTCCACCCGTGTCGCACCGATCCTGGTCAAACCCGTCCTGGGTTTCGATGGTTCTGCTATGGAAAGCGCGACGTTTCCACACCACCAAAAATCGATGGATGTCCTGGGGTCTCAGGGCTGGGTTTCCTGTGGAAGGTTTCTTGTGGTCTGGCCTCCGCAGTAATGATTCCCTGGCCGCACCACGAGGGCGTGCACACCGATCCTGAGCCCAGGATCGGTTTGACCAGGTTAAAGTCGGGCCTGTCCCTCTACAGGATGAATATCCAACAATAGTCGAAACATCGTCAGGGGACGATTCTTTATATGTATGTATGTATGTATGTATGTATGTATGTATGTATGTATGTATGTATGTATGTATGTATGTATGTATGTATGTATGTATGTATGTATGTATGTATGTAATGTATGTATGTATGTATGTATGTATGTATGTATGTATGTATGTATGTATGTATGTATGTATGTATGTATGTATGTATGTATGTATGTATGTATGTATGTATGTATGTATATGTATGTATGTATGTATGTATGTATGTATGTATGTATGTATGTATGTATGTATGTATGTATGTATGTATATATAGGTATGTGATGTAGGTATGTTTATAGATCTGTGCGCACACACACATATATTTATATATATATATATATATATATATATATATATGTTAAACGTTTTCGTCCAACATCTGCATGTAGTGCACATGCACGACCGAAGACCAGGTCACCCCTGGGGGCGCGAATATGATCAAGCTTCACGCGCCGGGGGGGCTGCGCGAGGGCGCGAAGATTCGCCGCGCGTCGCGCATCGCGCGGCGCGATGCGCCAAGGCAGGTGACCTGGGTGTTCGAGAGCGTGGCTTCGTCTCGCGTGTGGCCAAGCGCTCAGTTACGCTGCAACTTCCGTTCACTGCAACTCGTTTCAGAGGTGTGTGTGTGTGTGTTCACTGCGTATTTTCCCACGCCGCCTCCACTTGGGTCCGTCTTCGCCGACACCGGCGCGCAAGCTGCCGCGCGAGGTCGCGCAGAGGCGTCCTCGACGCCAGCGTGGCGTGCCGCTCTGGTGGCCCGCGCAGGCCGCCCGCGTAGGGTCGCTGCGCCGTCTCGCGTGAGACTCGTGCTCGATCGCCGCTCCCTCGTGGGGCGCGCGCGGCCTCTGCGCGCGAGCGGACCTCGCCCTGCCCCGCCCTGCCCCCGCCTCGCCGAGCCCGTCCGCGCACACGGCCGCCCTGCGGGAGGCGGGAGGCGACACGCTGGGCGCCCCTCGTCGCTCGCCCCCCGCAGCCATCAGGGGCAGCGATCAGGGGGGGGGGATAGGCTCCGGGTTACGTCGGGCCTGTCCCTCTACAGGAGGAGTTTCCAAGAACAGGAGCAATACACATAGTCTGGGGACGATGTCTTGAACCTGTTTTTAACCATTTTGGGGTACGGTTTGGCTATTTTTAATTTTGCGTCCGCAGTCCCCCTGTAGGAGGACAGGCCCGACTTGGGCGTAGGGGGGGATGCACCGACCACCGATCGTCCATGGCTCGCCGACAGGGGGGTCTGATAGCCTCACCCCGCCCAGGAACGGGCGGATGTGCTATCGGGGGCCCCTCGCCGATGTATCGGCGATGCATCGCCGATTCCAGGCCGATGAGCCCCCCCTATTCTCAGGCGATCGCAAGCATGGATTAAGGGGGCGTGGATTCGCGACGGGTTCCGTTTCCATGGGAAATCGCGGATTTCCGCCGCCGAGCGAGGCGGCACCGGCCGCATTTTGGGGAGGGCACTTCCCCCGATCCATGGATTTGGCGACCGCGCGTCAAGTCCATGGATCGCTAATCCATGCTTGCGCGCCCCCGATAGTCCAGTCCGCCCCGATCCTTGCCCCTCCATTCCCATCCCCAGTGGGCCAGGACCCCTGCACGCCACCAGCCTGCCGCCTCCTTGGGTGGTGACTGGGCCACGGAGTCCGACGGGAACGGCGTGCATCCCCACTTGTGGAGGTATGTCGGCCAGCGTGGGAAAAGGGTGCACCCGATGTGGAACGGGAGGGGCCTTGTCGCTGCTGGGCCGAGGGGGTCCCGAGGGATGACGATCCTGGAGCCTTTTTTTGGGGTGCAGTTTCCGGCCCAGCTGGGGCCCTCCGTGGGTCCCCCGGCAGGGAGCCCGCAATCGCTCATGAAAACTGGTCGGGGGGAAGGGGGCAGGCCCCAGGGCCTGGGGTTAAGTCGGGCCTGTCCCCCTACATGGGGAATATTCAAAAACAGTTAAAAGATAGCCCGGGGACTATTTTTGGAATATTTTTTGGCCATTTTGGAGTGTTTCTTGGGAATTTTTCGTTTTTCGTCCAAAATCCTTCTGTAGCGGGGCAGGCCCCAGGGCCTGGGGGGGGGGGGAGACAGCCCCAGGGCCAGGACGCGTCTCCAGCAGGGCCCGTCTCCCTCTACAGGGAAAAAATGGGCGAGTGCACCACGCCAGAGCGCTCCATCCATGGGCAGCTCCTGCTCGGGCGCCTCGTTCGCCCCCTGTGCCGGCCACGGGCGCCTCGCGCGCCCCGTCGTCGTCTTCGTCGTCGTCGTCGTTGTTGTTGTCGTTGTTGTCGTTGTTGTCGTTGTTGTCGTTGTTGTCGTTGTTG